TACCTGATGATGATGCTGCTGCTGCTGATAATAATAATAATAATAATAATAATAATAATAATAATAATAATAATAATAATAATAATAATAATAATATAAAGAATCAAGCATGCCATATTTTTTATATCTATTTATTTTGCGCTCACTTTTCCGCAATTAAAAATTAAAAACTAAATCACACTACATTTTTTTAGCTGCTTGTACAGTTTAAAATTAAAGCATCAACTCTAATTCATTTTAAGCTTGCTAATAGTAACTAATATGGGGTGCCAGTGGTGGATATGTGTCCTTAATAGGACCTAAAATATTTGAAAAAAAAAAAAAAGATTTAAAAAAATAAATAAAAATCTAGAGGACGTGACTCCTCTCTGGAGGTTCAGGTAAAACCTCGGTGACGGTGGCAGCAGGGGTGAAACGGAGGAAAAAAAAAAAAAAAGGAGGAAGGCTCCCCTCCTTCCAAGCTATGCAACCCTGAGTGCATAATCCATCACCTCTGAGACATCTAAAGAGGGTTTTCTCGACAGCTTTGTTGTAGCGAAACACCAGAAGGAACTTATATCTAAAGCCTGTTTCTACCGAGATGGATACTGGCCTCTGGAATATGCAGAACGTTTATTTTATTTTATTTTTTTGGGTAGGGTGGTGCACTATTTTTTAAAAAAGTGATAGATTCATTATTCTCGTTATTTATCCATTTTGCATCCATTTTTTTGCAACACATTTTATGAGTTCGTTTGCTCCACTATAACCCAGTTAGGCCACAATTGATGCAGCTTTTAGCCCCAAAATCACTTCCATCCTCCCCCTCCAACAATAAAAATATTTATTATGTCGTTTTAAAAATGAAGTTGCAAATTTCATATTTCATTTAAGTGTGTTGCACCTTCCTGGCTGTGCTTTTTTTTTTCTCTCTCCTCCAAATCCCCCCTCTGTCTGCTCGCTGCTGTAGAGCTGCGCGCTGAGCGTCTCCTCCTTTTGTCCCTCCTGCGAGCGAGGCGGAGGTTTTCTCCCATCAAACGGTGTCTGAGTGTTGCCTCACAGAAACTGTACAACTGATTAATGCAAATGCGCTGAATCGTCCTATAGAGGAAAGAAAGAAAGAAAGAAAGAAGGAAAAAAATCTTTAATGATTGCCTCCTTTGTCTTTGTGTGGCAATGACTGTCATGTCTTTGTTTGACCACTCCCAGTGAATCCTATTAAACCAACGACAGTTCATTAGAAGCATATGCTGCTATTTGAAGGAAAGGCGGTTTATAAGAAGCAGGTAAAGTTATCCAAAAAAATCTATATAATATTTATTTTACGCGCAGGGGGGAAAAAATATTTTTTTAAATTTTTTTTTTTACTGCAGATGGAGAATCTAGCAGCATCAAATCCAGGGATAAATACCACTATTTAGCCCGTAATTCCATCTGCCTGGTCAGAAAAAAAGGTAATTCTGTAACGCATTATTTATTTATTTTAAATCATAATAAAAAAAAGCTCCAGCAAAAATAATAAGTTGTGATCGATCCATCTCCAACAGACGTCGCGTTGTATTTCAATAAAAACCTACCACCACNTGGGCTTTCATTGTTAAAATATACACAAACAGTCAGTGTTTGTAGAATACCAGATTTCAAAATAAAACGAAGGGGAAGAAAAAAGCCTCACAAGTGCCACAAGTTACATTTTTTTTGGGATGTTTCTCCTGCAAAAACCTAAAACACTTCCAAAAGGTGCTACAAGATGTATGCTTGCCTCCATCCTGCACAGACAGGACAGGATTTACAGGCAGCACAGACCCACATTAATACTCTATGTTAATGCACATGCTTCCACAAAAGTCGGGACTTGTTTGGGAAATTGACAATGTGTGTCTTTTCCTCACTTATGAAGTGCAGTCTGCAAACTCTAGTCCTTTCATTTCACTCTGCATTGTTTACAGCAATATAGGGCACCGGGCCCATAAATCTTCTCCTTGCTCTGCCAAGACAGCACCATTTGTATGCACCGTTTTAACCGACAGCATCCTCTGCCCATTAACGTCTTCTCCGCAGCTCTCTCTCTCTCTCAGTCTCCTCTTATCTGCCGAGCTCTGTCCCCTGCAAATACATCCACTGATCCGTTGAGCTCTGAAAACCAATTATGATTTTTTTTTTTTTT